TACATAATTAATCCACTTAATGTTGTCCATAGCCATAGGCACCTAATCATGATCGAGCGTAACCCCTTTTATAGTATAATAGCACCCAAATCTATAGTCAACATTGTCCTGGCATGTTGCACGCTAACGGTGGCATGATACAAACCCYCAATATTGGCTAAACAACTCGAAATTACCTGTAATACCAACAACTAAACGATATTATCTAAGCATACATGCATTTACACTCACAGTCCCAGCATGAATACTGTCCATGATTTCTATGATTGTTCTGTTCTTTCTGTACGTACTGCTTCATTTGACAGCTGGAACTTTATAGGAGCATATCTATAAACACACATATATGTACGCTGTCCTTTTCGTGTGGTTTCTTATACAAAGTTTTGTCAGTTAGAAGTTCTTAGTTATTTAATGTTAGTTTTGCAGTATACACGTTTTTATTTAAGCTTGCGGTTACCTCAAAGTTTGCGCTTTTACCGAAAAAGAAAAGAAAAAGAAAATGGGAAACGACTGTCAGAGAGAAAAAGGGTGAAGAAAAACAGCAGCAGCAAGAAAGTTTTTCATGCCATGTATAATAAATAATACTGCTGATTAAATCGTCTTTCCATGCAAGTTGCCATTAAAAAGTATTCACAGCGCAAAATCTATACTTTAGTTTCGCTCAAATACGATAAGCCGATTACCAACCCAACGCAAGCCAAACCAAACCAAACTCAAACCCAAACCCAAACCCAGCCCAAGCAAACAAAACTGAAGCGAGCTGAGCAAAAGCAAAAGGGAAGCAGCTGAAATGTAGCCAGCAGCTGCTCCTACGGAGTTTTTGCCTTCATGTGGACAGGAGATGCAAAATGCTTTTGTATCGCCAACAGACAGACGGACTGGCAGGCGGACAGACAGATTGGAGATGAGATGCTGCACATGCTGATGCGGCTATGGCTGTGGCTGTGGCTGCAGGCGGCATCTCTTGCCCTGCCCTGGGTGTCTTTGCCGTGGCTAGGCTTGGCTTGGCTTTTCCAGGCTCGTTGCTCGGTTGTTCCTCGCCTCACAGTGCTCCACGGCGCTCTGCCACGTGCACGTAATGCGCTTCATTTGCGTTGCACTAAATGCAAGCAGTGTGTCCGCTGGGACGCCTAGCTATTTATGCGGCTGCCAGCATATTATAGATAGACAGACTGGCAGACAGATAGACAGATAGTCAGACAGAGCAACCGAAAGGTAGTTATAGTGTTGCCGGATAAGCGGAATAGGGGGGCGCTGGGAGCGGGGAAGCACTCACTTTATCACGTTTCGAACTGGCTTCACTCGCCGGGCAAAAAGCCGGCAGCATTAGCTGTGGCAGCAGTGAGGGCAGAGCTCA